GCGCGGCGGGGCGGCGCGGGCGAGGCCAAGCCGCTCGTGAGCATCACGGCGGCGGCCGCCGGGCCGCGCCTCGTGGCGCCGCCCTCCTTCGACGGCACCACCATGCGCTTCGTGGTGGAGCACCGCTGAGGGGAGGCGAGGCGAGGTGAGGTGAGCGCCGCGCCCCCCCGCGCTGCCCCCCGCCCTGTCCGCACTTTGCAGCCGCCTCTAGCGCTACAGTTAAAAAAACAAACAACAACAACAACAAAAAGTGCTAAAACTTGCTTACGGTAGCTTGCTTACTTTGCCAGCCTTACCTTGATTCTTTGCCGAGTTGAGTGCTTAGCCCTGGGAGCTTAGTGCTAAGCAGGAGGTTACTAAGTGGGCAACACCTGCCTGAAAACGTGCTTGCGCCTATGTGGTTAAAAGCTTTCCTTCAGGAGCTCTCTTACCTCCTCACAGATAGAAACGAGGTGGTTTTGTACTCCTGCTGAGAGCAGCTACACGGAGGAATAGGCAAAATACCTTTTAGGTAACTGTTTAAGATGAGCTCTGCAGGGTGACTCTACTTAACCCTGTCACTGAAGTGTTGGTGAAATAGGTAATGCAAAAGTATTTAAGCCTCTGCTTTGGTCTCTGGACCAACTTCAGACCAGTTAAGTGTTAGATTCTGATTTAGATATTAGTTTTGAAAAAGTATAATGTAAATAGTACCTGTATAGCTATATCGGCTTATATTTCTTACACTAATTTATAGCTTATTGCCAGACTTTGGTTATTCATGTTATTTAGAAAAATTGCTGTACACAAGGCTAGAACCACTTACTGTATCTGTCTTTACATTCTCATTATCTTTTCTGTCATCATATTTATTTGACCTTTGTTTTTGCACAGCTTTCTTATTTCTATGTAGATTTTTTTCTCTTCCTTGCTCTTCTTGTCTTTCTTTTTAGATTATTTGGTTGTATTATTTTGCTTCTTTTCCTTTGTTTTCTTATATCTTTTGGGCTTCTCCTTGTATCTTGAAATGTAAATGATTGCTCATTTGGGCTGCTTGTTTGCCCCTATGAAAACAGCAGTGTAAACAGCAGCGTTGCTCTCTAGTGCGTGTGAGTTTCCAGGCAAGCGGTGGAGGATTGGCCATTGCAGCCAATTCCACAGCGGAGAAGATCATAACCCTGCACAGATCCTAAAAGGGATTAGCAGAGCTGCCAGATTCACCACCTAACTGTGGATTTTCAACAGCATGAACCCATTACTGCCCTTTTAAAATCCCTTTTCTTTTTTACTATCCAAGATATGCTGAATGAGCACTGTTGAGCTTGTTGCTCTAGCTTTTCGCTCTCTCCCTTTCTTTTCATACTGTACAATGTCTTTCGCTCTCTTCTTTTTTTCTTTTTTTTTTCTTCTTTTTTTTTTTTCTTCTCTTTCACATCTTCTTTCACAAATTGTGTCACTGTGTCAGGGACTGGTCTATCTTGGTCACCATCATCTTTTGGAAACCGATGTGATGTAACTCACTAATCTCTGTTGCTGGCATGATGCTTTTGGTGGTGTTAGTACCTGATTCCCTCTATATCCAYTGCTATTTCAGTCCTTGGTGCTGTGACAGATATTTTCTTTTATTGAATCGGTGGGGTAAAATAGATCCTGTAGATTTGGACTCTGGTAAGCCCAAGATGAAATGTGCCTCATCTGAATAAGTCTTAAGTTGTTGATCTACAGCAAACATTATGGAATACATGTTTTTTTCTAAGAAATAGCCTGTGATCTCTATTCCTCCCCACTTCCTCTTCTGAAGGCAGGTAGTTTGCAAGTGTTTGGCAACATGGATCTTACTTGCGTTTTCCTGCTGCTGCTTTCCCTTAGAACTGAAAGTCAGCAATGCTTGTTGTCATATTGACCCACTTGCCATGTCTGTCTGCATCCAAATCCAGACAACACTGACCTGCCGTGGTTTGCCTGCATGGATTTCATTCCTGGAATGAGTGACTGAAAATATATTTTTAACTCGTGTATCTGTTTCCACTTTATACTCTTGGGAGCTTATGCCTTATTTTAGATATATGAATGACAAAGTACCATACAAGACTATATCCAATAGTACTACAAATGTTGAAAGGGTACTACTTTTCCTTGTTCAGTGCAGCATGTGCCTAAACTGAAGACGCATTATAGTTCCAAAAATACCCATGGCATTTTCATTTATAGTGAGAGTAGCATAAACCAAATAGGAGTATTTCTGTCATTGTAGCATACAAATACATGTATTAATTTTGAGAGTTTCTACCTGCATTCCACCAGGCAACATTTTTCTGCCTCTAAAAAGGTTTTTTTTTTTTTTTCCCCTCCCATACAGGGAGGATATAGGAGTGCTGACTCTCTTTTTCTTTCTTTTTTTTTTTTTTTTTTTTTTTTTAAATGCAGCATGTATCATAATGAATATTGATGTCTTTAAACTCTAGTGTTTTTATAATTGTGACCTATTCAGTAGGACTATATAATATACATTACTAACCCAAGAAGTAAGCTTACACTGACATAYACTGCAGGCAGGATTTACTTCCACAGAGTCCTTCACTGCTGATTTAATAAAGCCGGAGTCCAGTTCTAGTGGGGCACATGGGAATATTCCAAGAATTAAAATAGCTGCAGTGTCTGTGCTATTAAATCTGTCCAAGAATTGAATTRAGCTTGAGTTTAAATCTTTGGTTACTGTCTCAAGCAGCTAGGAATAATTCTGCTGGAAGAAAGAGGCTGCTTCCCCCTAATTCATTTTTTAAAAAACTTGGGATRTGCTTGCTTGATTTCAGCAGTATTTTAGGAAATGAGCCGTGAGAATACTGAGATGATGAAGGAAATATTATGCAGTTCTTTGGAGCAATAACAGTTGGTGAAATATTTTCTGTCAGTACTTGTTAATGATAGATTTTGTTTTGTTTTGTCTTACAGGATTAAGGAAGATTAATCGCCTCCTTCAATCTGGAATACACTTGGTAACTCTCAACAATTATCCTAAAAACTGCTTCAACAGTTTTCTTATTTTTTGCTTCATGCAAAGCAAGTGTGTAAGTTTCTTGTCTTCTCCTAAATCCCTGTTTTTGGAGTATGCATAAATTCAGTTATGCAAACCACGCTAAATTACTTCACTACTCTCTGCAAACTTGTTTTTATATTGAAACCAAACTGCAGTTTTTGTACGTTGCCTTGGTGCTGGTGGCTAGTGGTAGTTACACCACTGCATCTCCTTGCAAAACTGTGTAAATGTAGCAGCGTTCAGGTCTGGATCAAAATACAGCTTCTTCCGTCTCCTTGGGATTTGTTGTGGTTATCTAAGGCAGCCCTACAGCTTCCCAAATAGATAAGGCCTTCGACTTTCCCCCTTGAAGGAAATGAGGGTTGTCCCATATTTTTGAATGATGGATCAGACTTCTGTTTTGTATTCTGTGGCTATGCACTTTGGATTGCAAACATAGAGATCTGTAGCGTGTAGATTGTCTTTAGGGTTTTTTTTTTTGGCATGATTCAAAACTGATTGTGTAAATAACAGGAAACATATTTGATTGTTTTCATTTTTCCTTTGCTCCTTTGTACGGTGTTAGACATCACAAGTTGCCTTAATTATGACAGTGTTTAAATAGCAGAAATCCATAAAGTGAATGTAATATTTGTAGACCCCAACTCTAAAGGAGAGGACAGCATTTATTTTTCTTTAAGACTGCAGCCTTTTCTTTCTTAAATTTCAACATTGTTGAAAATCCACTCCTAGTGATTCCCATTGAAGGGTAAATTTTGAATGTTACAGTTGCACCAACACGTAGCCTTTTTCTTTTAGCCAGTGTTAGACAGGTTTAGCTGAGGTTTGYATTCACACTAAGGAAAATATTTCCCTTTTGCATATGGAAATATCAAATAAGATAACTCAAAGTGCAATTTATGTGTTCGTATGTCTAACTCTGCTTAAACTGATGATTTCTTTGCCAACAATTGGTTTGTTTCTGTAAAAGAAAAATATACCATAGTGGTGAAACTAAACTATGTTAGTGTGTTCCTTGTCCAAAACTTTTGTTCAGTTCAGTAAAGTACCTGGTGATAAATGTCAGATCAAGATRAAATTGTTTATTGTAAAGTTTTCTTGAGTTGACAGGATGGGAGTTCAAGAAATAGAAAAGAAATATCAGTACTCAAGAGTTTGACCACACACAAGATTTTCTTGCAGCTCTGCTCAACGTTTAGCCTTTYCCATTAGTTGTGCATTTTTGTATTTGTAAATATTGTTTAGGCTTTATGTGTTTTGTTATAACCATTGCAGTCCCTGTGTTGCTTAAACTTGGTGAGTTTTGTTTTTTGTTGGTTGRTTTTTGGTTTTGTTTTGGTGAGCACTGCAGTTGTTTTACATGTAAACTGTCCACCCAATGCTAGGCTTTTCTTTATCGTTTGAGAGATCGGACTGACTGCTGTGGATTTTACTTAGGAAAGTCCCCTGTTGACAGCAGTAGGAAATCTCTTCAGGTGCAAGCTGGGTGCTAATTTGGAAACAGCTTAGAAGTTCCTGTGTAACTCTTCCCAGTAAATTTATCTTTTGTGTAGGTTTCTGTCTTGCTGTAACATTTTAGCTCCTTTGTAATGGAGTAGCAATTTGAGAAGTTGATGGTTGTCCAGCTCCTTCAGCTGGAAAGTCTCAGGAGAGACTTTCTGTGCTCATTAAAGCCTCCTGAGGAGCTGGCCACCTGCTCCCTTCTCCTGCCTGCATGACAGGAGCAAGGTGCTTTCAGAGCACGTTCAAGTGTGTTCCCAGATCCTTGTATAACAAAGGGGAAAATCGTGTTCAAGGAGTCAGAAACAAAATTTCTACTGCAGTGATATTAAAGTTTATATCTACTAGTCTTAGGTACTGTTTTTCACAGAGTCTGAAGGGAAGAGTAAGTTTCAGGGAGCCCCATACTTAAGGAAGCCACAGATTTTCATTTCCTTGACTAACATACAAGATGAAGAAAAATCAGCTGCCACTGTCTTAAAATATACGTGTGAGATTTTTATTTCAATTGAATTTATTTGTTTACAGGCACAAATAGAAATTGCCTTCAAGATGAAATGCACTGCAAGTATACAGATAGTGAGTGATTTAGCATGTATCTTCTCATTTATCTTCATCAGTGTGAAAATTCAGTGAAAACCCATAATATCCTATTGCTAAAGAACTTGACATGCCCCTTCAGAGCACATAGTCTGTAAACTTAATGTCTGGACTGTTGGGTCACCTTGTCTGCAGTTCTAAGCTTGAATTTTCTACCAGGATTCTGACTAAATGCCTCTTAAAGAAAATGAATGCTGCTTCTCCGTTTTCACGACTGATATACCTGTATAAGCTAAGTATTGGTGTTAAACAAAACAGTACTTCGGACTGCAGGACAGTGCAGGTACCAGAGTAGGTTTGCCATAGTGACATAAATTTGTACGGTACATACACTATAATACTAGCATCTGTGTTTAAAAWTTAGTGCTGTATCTTTTCC